AACAAACTTTATAAACTGTTTGATTGTTGGTTCTTTAATTCATATTGATTTCACACTCTTGTAATTCCGTGTGTAAAATAATCGCGGATTGTGTGTCAGTGTTCCTTTGTTCATGTCTGAATATTATATCGAGTTAAGGAAAAAACTGATTTATGTTTTTATTTACAACTTAAACAACCATACCTCCTGACATGTGGGAGTCAACGTTTCAGCTCTGATCAGGTTAATGCATACACGTCGCGCCCCAAAGTCGTGGATCGATGCTCACACTTTCTACCACTGGTTAGTCTGATCCCACTGTATACAGTTTCACAATTCACGGGAAGTACAAGACGTTGATTTTCAGTAACTTTTAAATTAATGTGGTCCCCAATCTGTCTTACATTAAGTGTGTCCCCAGTCTGTGTGATGTTAGTGCCCAAAGTCAGTCGGAAATTGAAGTCTTTCATAGGCACTCAGAAATTGGAAGAATATGAATACATGACACCAGTGTCTGAAACTCAGCCAATCTAATTAAAATCAGATCTTAGTTCTCGCTACCGCTAAACAAAGATCTGAGGACATCGCATTAGGGGTCACGTCAGAACGACCTTTCATCCGACCAATCAGCGCGTCACTTACCAGTTCATGAAAGTTACAGTCGGAATGTGATGACTAATCATGCAACCTCGAAAACTATAATACGGGATATTCCGAACCATAGTTACGGGATTAACGACTGAATCCATATATTCTAGACCATCTATTAGCCATTCCAGAATGTTCTTTTGTTCAGGTTTCAAATTTGTAATCGAGAATTTGTGAAAATATGTTTGGAAGCGTAGTCGCCAATTTGAAATTAGTGCCGTAAAGCACGAGAAAGCTGCCTTCTGATTGGCTAATGTCCACTTCTTGTCAGTCATTCCATAGGTCGATCAAAGTTCGCGCAAGGTCGGTCTGACGTGACCCGTAATGGGGTGTTCTCAGATCTTTGTTTAGCGGTCGCGAGAACTAAGATCTGATTTTAATGAGATTGGAAACTCAGCATACAGTCCTTTGTCGCACAATGCGGTAACAATGCAGTGACGTCAAAAATTTTAAGAACTTTAAGACACTAAGCAATGCATAACCTGATGTAAGATAGGAATAAATTCACTTTGGTTGATAAATAACGCCATATCTTGACTCAAGATCATTACTCCTTATTCATATAGTGAAAAAACATAAACAATTCCTGAAATAACGGATGGTGCTGTGCTTGTTCCTTTTAATAAACACTACATTATGAAAATCGTCCACTCTTGTCACATCTTCCCGGGTTAGTAGTTTCCACTTTTATAGTCAGTTAACCCCCTTGCCTCGGGAAGATGACTGTCAGGGTAGATTGCAAAGTTCCATCAAGAAATATTGAATGGTTTATGAGTTATGCTCTAAACCCTCATTTTAACCTTAGTCCATTTAGTCATTGCCTTAGATATGCAAATTAAAAAAATATAAAGTTTCACAAAGAAACGAGAAACGGTTTATGAATGATGCCAGTATGATTTGGAAGTGCAAGAAATATAACTAAAAGAGCTCCTGAATAGCAAAAGGCACAAGTTCAATGCATGCCTGCATGAAGTGTGTACAGATGATCCTTAAGAAATATTGAACGGTTTTATCAGTTATGCTCAGGAAACGAACCCTAACCTCATTTGAACCTAAGATCAACTTGTTGCCATTGAAACTCAAAACAATGTAACATTCTGAAATTCCTTAATACATAAAACACCAGTTCAATGCATGCCTGATGTCTAAACAAAGTTTCATGATGACACATCGAAATGTTTATGAGTTATGCTCTGGAAACGAAATGTGACAGATGGATGGTCGGAGCCAGTTTCTATATCCCCTGAAAATATTGTTTGGGCGGGGTATAATTCTGAGGCTGTCAACCCCCTTTTGGTACGTGGGATTCGGGGGTCTATTTGTGGAGTATTCGGGACTCAGCAATGTGGTTGGTTTGTTTGTTTGTTTGTTTATTGATTAACGCCGCACTCAGCAATATTTAAGCTATATGACGACGGTATGTAAATAATCGAGTCTGGACCAGGCAATCCAGTGACTGATGTCATGAGAATCGATCCACGCAATTTGGATACGATGACATGCATAAACCCAGTCAATGAGCTTGACCACCCGATCCCGATAGTCGCCTCTTATGACAAGCATGGCCGCCTTTTACGGCAGGTATGGGTTGCTGAAGACCTATTCTACCCCGGATCTTCCAGGGTCAGCAGTGTGGTACGCGTGAAGCAAATCAAGTCCTATTTGGTACGCAGATTCAACAGTTAAATATTCCTTTATATATTTTCTGTTTTCGACATACTTTGAAGTTTACACTGTTTCTTTCATGCTGATTTGCTCAATGGGTAGTCACGTGATCTGATATTTGGAGTTCACACACCTGTGAACGGACAAAAAATGTTCACACGATGTGAACAATTTCGTGTGAACTTTTGCCGGAACTACTTTCCGGGGTTTCCCCGAATTCTCGATCAGTGTTTTACGATCAACTCGTTTTCCTAAAAAAATTAACCCCTGCATTTATCAGCAATTTAATGAATTTAGTATTTTTGCCTGGTCTTGTAACATTTCATCTGACGTATAAATAAATAAATGCTTTGGTTCTGGCGTTTGATGTCGTCTTGCTGCTACATGAAACAAAATGGATTGTCCTTACGGTGATTTGGATATGGAATGGCTATCTTTCAATACTAATAACGCAAGTAAAGAAAATTTATTCTGTAAAATTACTGAGGTGAACGAAATTGATTTATTGAGCGATATTGACTTTGATGCCTTGTTTTCGGAAACGACAGGAATCTAGCCACAATAAAAACAATGTAGTACCCTGCTCAAATGTGGCCGCTGACACAGAGCAAACGCGACTGCTCCTGATCAATCCCAAACTAAAACGTACCGATTCACTATCGCATTGGGGAAAAAATCTAAGATTTTGAGAAACCATAAAACATAAATTAAAAAAAAAAGATATTTGCCCGTTTTACCGATTGATCATCAGAGACGAGAAAATATCCGTAGACGGAATTAGAAATCTACTATTCCGGTTTCTGAGTTTGCCGACCTTCTCCGAGCATTTAGCAGGAATATGATTAATATAGTATTTTTGCCTTTCTCTTGTAATTTCGTCTTACTTTAAAATAAATAAATGCTTTGGTTCTTGTGTTTAATGTCGAAAAGGTGCTAGGCCTAGATGAAACAAAATGGATTGTCCTCACGGTGATTTGGATATGGAATGGCGATCTTTCAATACTAATGACGCAAGTGAAGAAAATGAATTCTGTAAAATTACTGAGGTGAACGAAATTGATTTATTAAATGAGCGATATTGACTTTGATGCCTTGTTTTCGGAAATGACAGGAATCTAGCACCAATGAAAACTATGTCGTACCCTGCTCAGATGTGGCCGCTGACAAAGATCAAAGCGACTGCTCCTGATCAATCCCAAACTAAAACCCGATTTACTATCGTATCGGGAAAAAAATCCAAGATTTTGAGAAACCATAAAACATATAAAGGTAACGAAAAAAATTAAATTAAAAAAAACAAAAAACAACAACACGTGCCTACCTGTTTTACCGAGTGGTCATCGGAGACAATATCCGTTGACGGAATTACCATATTCTGGTTTCTGAGTTGGCCGACCTTCTCCGTGCATTTGAGGCCGAGAAGCGGCGGCACATGAGGAATGACGGGGCACAGAAATGGAGACAGTAGGCCCATCTCAGGTGACAAGAGACACCAGCTAAACAAAGTATTACAGCAAACACGACAAATCCCAAACTCAAAATACAGCACATCCTGACGTTGAAAATTAACATAAAACACACAAGTTTCAGAGCACTCCGTTCAATCCCCTCCACTACATTCCGCATCGTCCGAATTGGTTTGCGATTATCCAAACACAAGTAACACATTCATAAATCGGTGATATTCCCAATTTGCTAATGCCATGAGAGAGTTCACGCGTTTTCCATAACTGCTCCATAAACGTCATTTTCAACAGCAGTAAGTATACATTTCATCCTCATGCTCCCGTTCGACTCGAAATGCACCGCTTTACAAACTTATGTGACGTCATATATAAATCCGCGCTTGAAGGTTGACCTCGCCTCGGTGCATCGAGGCAATGTTTATATTTTTGTTCACTTTGCTGTAACCTATTTTTAAGATTTGATTCATCCCAAATATTGTTTGTAAACTTGATTATGTTGTATATACTTAGTCTGTTTTTCTGTACGATATGTTCATTTCAGAGACTAGATGTTAGTCTAGTATATACTCAGAGAACTATTTTTCTTTGCGTAACTGAGTATGAGTGGGGCGCCTGACTGGGGAAAAGTGGCCGAGAGCCGGCAAATACCGACAAAAAAAACATTGCTGCAATGTTCTTCGGCGAAACCAGAGGACTTCAAATTTAAGTAAACATTGTTACGATATTTTTCGGCAAGACCAGTAAACTACAAAGTATGAAATTATAAGAATTCGCAAGCTCGGAGGTTCACACAGTTTAACCAGCGCTTTTAAATCGTTCACACTTCAATGAACCCATCCAAACTAACGTTCAATTCTTAATTAACTTCAAAATGCACCGTTCTTGACATGCGCTCGCAACTTGACATCGTAAATTCGACGATGTTATTTTTGAGAGGGAAGTGTCCAATGAGTTGTTCCACATTGATGTAGCTGGACACCGCAGATGAACGCAATGCGCCCCTTGTGGTTTACTCTCCCTGGGCCCACTTGCACAAAGCGATCTTAGTGCTAAGACTATCGTAAGCCTATGTTAAAGTATGGGAGTTACGATCATCTTAGCGCTAAGATCGCTTTGTGCAAGTAGGCCCAGGAGTGTTTATTTCCTAAATATGGACGCGTATTAAATGTGAGTGTTGCCCAAAGCTGCGCCGTGCATAGCGAGCATTGTCAGTGACGTCATAGACAGAGACAGTGGAAATGACGTCATAGAATGGTTCCATGACGACGTTGATGGTTCCCTATCAGTCGCTGACAGAACTTGGTTGTGTTCAGACGTACACGTGTTGGTCTTACAAAACTTCACATTAGTTGCTGGCCTGTGTCTACTTGCACAAGTCTACACTTCATCTCAGTATTAGGTAAGCAATGCCATTTTAACTCCTACAGTTGGTTTACGTTGTCTTTCTCTGATATATTTTGTTTGCTAACCCTTTTTTACATCTATATTGCACGGCTCTGCACTTCTTTATCCGTACATTACTTCTGTCTTCATCAACACTCAGTCTGCAATGTGGTTACGATACTCAAATGTACTTGGTCTTTTTCTGATAGATCTTGACGCCTACCTGTAACGTGTATATTGAATCACTCGTATTTTTTTATGTTGTCAGTTATTGTTTAACCCATTAATTAGTTCTGTTTGGAGCAAATCCCAGTCTACAATGCAAATACTAACATTCATAAATTTAAATAAGATAATTTTTGCCCTACAGATAAAGATGTATCCACCAGAACGGCGGAAGTGTAGAAAACTACTCTCCCCCGTACTCGAGGCGGACGAGCGTGAATCTAACCTTCCAAGTCCAAGAACACCAGACGATCATCAAGATTTACTTGGTATGTTACTAAACAAATTAAATGCAAAATGAATAGAGCTATGATTACCTGGTGTTTGCTGAAAGCATTTACAGTTACACTCCAAGTATGATTTATCTTAATATAATACATTGATTCCTTACTCAAAATGTCAGGCACTCCACCCCATTCACAAACAGTGGAATAGCGTCGGGATTTTGTACTATTATTTTGTTGTTGTTTCCAGTTCAATACATGGACCTGAAATCCCAAGTCGGAGATTTTGAGGAAAGGTAGGCACAATTTCGTTTGATATTCATGCACGTTCTTCCGATGTGATAAGTCATAGAACTTGAGCATTTTAGTTGAATCTAGAACCGACACCATCTTATTCTCTGTCGGCCATGTGACTATAACCTAGGACACATTTACCGTTAGTTCCCTGTCTTTGTAGACCACGTTGTAATTTTAAAGATAAAATAAGTTTGTGAAACGATATTTTTTTATGTTGGGGCAAAATATCTTTTTAAATAAAGACATATGATTTTCAGTCTTCTCGATCACCTTTTCAATGAGAACCAGAAGCTGAGAGAAGAGAACGAGCGACAGGCCCGACAACTCCGGGAGGAAAACAAGTTAAGGCAGAAAACTGAGTCAGAGAGACAGGACTATAGGTTGGAGTATTTCAACTATCGTCTCAGTTACACAATGGCGCAGGCTGAGCTCCAGGAACTGAAACAGACGCTAGAGGGACTGGCGGGAGACTGGGAGAAGGAGAAGCAGACAGAGATGGAGCAGAGGAAGAAGCTGGAGGAAGAGCTGGCAGCTATCCAGCGCCAGACTGCCCCTCTGACCTGTCACACTCCTGCCAATAAGCGGACCAGTTCCTCCAGCGTCGGTCCTCCAGTTCAACCAAGGAAGGCTCGAAGACCTTACACAGGAAAGTCTAAGGACAAGGTTCCAAGCAATATTTCACATGTCAAGACAGACTTCTCTGCTTCCGGTGACAAAATGATGCTGGCTAAAAATAATAATGAAACCAAGTTGAAGGTCACTTCCAGTGTAAGATCTATTCTGAAAGACACCAAGAGAGGACATGTTGCTGAAAAGAAACCAACCCGATCCTCCAGGAACCTTTCTGTTAGATTCACAAAGGAAATGCCAATTGGAAAGATCCGTCACGAAATGTAATTACGACCCTCGCCATAAGGAACAAACTTTATAAACTGTTTGATTGTTGGTTCTTTAATTCATATTGATTTCACATTCTTGTAATTCCGTGTGTAAAATAATCGCGGATTGTGTGTTAGTGTTCCTTTGTTCATGTCTGAATATTATATCGAGTTACTGAAGAAACTGATTTATGTTTTTATTTAGAACTTAAACAACTATACCTCCTGATATGTGGGAGTCAACTTTTCAACTCTGATCAGGTTAATGCATACTCGTCGCGCCCCAAAGTCGTGGATCGATGCTCACACTTTCTACCACTGGTTAGTCTGATCCCACTGTATACAGTTTCACAATTCCCGGGAAGTACAAGACGTTGAATAGTTTTCAGAAACTTTTAAATTAATGTGGTCCCCAGTCTGTCTGACATTAAGTGTGTCCCCAGTCTGTGTGATGTTAGTGCCCAAAGTCAGTCAGAAATTGAAGTCTTTCATAGGCACTCAGAAATTGGAAGAATATGAATACATGACATCAGTGTCTGAACTCAGGCAATCAGATCTTAGTTCTCGCTACCGCTAAACAAAGATCTGAGGACATCCCATTAGGGGTCACGTCAGAACGACCTTTCATCCGACCAATCAGAGCGTCACTTACCAGTTCATGAAAGTTACAGTCGGAATGTGATGACTAATCATGCAACCTTGAAAACTATAATACGAACGATAGTTACGGGCTTAACGACTGAATCCATACATTCTAGACCATCTATTACCCATTCCAGAATGTTCTTTTGTTCAGGTTTCAAATTTGTAATCGAGAATTTGTGAAAATATGTTTGGAAACGTAGTCGCCAATTTGATGTGGTGGTGGAATGGGGTTTAACGCCGCGTCCAAGATTATTGCACTTATATAGCGACGTGCATGTACGTGTGTGTGTTTGTGTGGCCGCTTGTACTAGTCCCGACTAATGCCGATTTATAGTGCTAGCCCACTGAGATACCATGCCGCAGTTTAACATGAGTGAGTGAGTGAGTGAGTGAGTATGGTTTTACGCCGCTTTCAGCAATATTCCAGCAATGTCACGGCGGGGGACAACAAAAACGGGCTTCACACATTGTACCCATGTCGGGAATCGAACCCGGGTCTTCGGCGTGACGAGCGAACGCTTTAACCACTAGGCTACCCGACCGCCCCCCGTTTAACATGAATACCCCACTCAGACACAGAATACTGACTCCGAGCCGACCAGTCCTTGTTTTAGCCCCTTAATGCCGAGCGCCAGACAGGGTATCAACAAGTACCATCTTTTAACATCTTTTGGTATGACGCGGCCGGGGATCGAATCCCGGACCTTCCGCTCTCCGGGCGGACGCTCTACCACTAGACCACGGAGGCGGTCTCGGCAATTTGAAATTAGTGCCGTAAAGCACGAGAAAGCTGCATGCCTTCTTATTGGCTAATGTCGACTTCTTGTCAGTCATTCCATTGGTCGATCAAAGTTCGCGCAAGGTCAGTCTGACGTAATCGGTAATGGGGTGTTCTCAGATCTTTGCTTAGCAGTCGCGAGAACTAAGATCTGATTTTAATGAGATTGGAAACTCAGCATACAGTGCTTTGTCGGACAATGAGGTAACAATGCAGTGACGTCATAAGTTTAAAGAACTTTAAGACACTAAGCAATGCATAACCTGATGTAAGATAGGAATTAATTCACTTTGGTTGATAAATAACGCCATATCTTGACTCAAGATCATTATTCCTTATTCATATAGTGAAAAAACATAAACAATTCCTGAAATAACGGATGGTGCTGTGCTTGTTTCTTTTAATAAACACTACATTATGAAAATTGTCCACTCTTGTCACATCTTCCCGGGTTAGTAGTTTCCACTTTTATAGTCAGTTAACCCCCTTGCCCAGGAGCTCTTTTAGTTATATTTCTTGCACTTCCAAATCATACTGGCATCATTCAAAAACCGTTTCTCGTTTCTTTGTGAAACTTTATATTTTTTTATTTTGCATATCTAAGGCAATGACTAATTGGACTTAGGTTACAATGAGGGTTTAGAGCATAACACAAAAACCATTCAATATTTCTTGATGGAACTTTGCAATCTACCCTGACAGTCATCTTCCCGAGGCTAACCCTATCCTCATTTGAACCTAAGATCAACTTGTTGCCATTGAAACTCAAAACAATGTAACATTCTAAAATTCCTAAATAGCACAAAGCTCCAGTTCAATGCATGCCTGATGTCTATACAAAGTTTCATGATGACACATAGAACAGTTTATGAGTTATGCTCTGGAAACGACAGATGGATGGTCGGAGCCAGTTTCTATATATCCCCTGAAAACGTTGTTTGGGCGGGGTATAATTCTGAGGCTGTCAACCCCCTTTTGGTACGTGGGATTCCGGACTCAGCAGTGTGATTTGTTTGTTTGTTTGTTTGTTGATTAACGCCGCACTCAGCAATATTTCAACTATATGACGACGGTCTGTAAATATTCGATTCTGGACCAGGCAATCCAGTGACTGATGTCATGAAAATCGATCCGCGGATCTTCCAGGGTCAGCAGTGTGGTACGCGTGAAGCAAATCACATCCTATTTGGTACGCAGATTCAACAGTTAAAAAAATCCTTTATATATTTTCTGTTTTTATCACCCGCCGGGCCAGAATTGGCGAAGGGGGATTATGTCGTGGCGCAGTCCGTCCGTCCGTCCGTCTGTCCGTCCCACAGAGGGTACTAAGCTTATGAAATCAACTCCTCCTACAGTTTCCAGAGAATATCCCTGAAACTCTACACACAAGATTTCAAAATGTTAATGATACGTATATCTCAGTCCCGTTTCATTTCGACTAAAACTCGCCGCGAATAGCTGCAAAATTGCTGATGCGGCGTTAAGCAACATTCACTCACTCACTCATTTCGACTAATTGTGACAGAGTTACTGCCCCTGTTTTACGGAACTTCGTTTGCCTAATTGTGAGAGAGGGTACCAAGCTTGTGAAATCAACTCCTCCTCGAGCTTTAAGAGAATATCCCCGACACTCTACACACAAGATGTTGACATGTTGATGATATGCATATCGCAGTCCTGTTTCATTTCGACTAATTTTGACAGAGTTACTGCCCCTGTTTTACGGAGCTTCATTTGCCTAATTGTGAGAGAGGGTACTAAGCTTGTGAAATCAACTCCTCCTACAGTTTCCAGAGAATATCCTATCCTTGACACTCTACAAACAAGATGTCGACATGTTGATGATACGCATATCTCAGTCCCGTTTCATTTCCACAGAGTTACTGCCCCTGTTTTACGGAACTTCATTTGCCTAATTGTGAGAGAGGGTACTAAGCTTGTGAAATCAACTCCTCCTACAGTTTCCAGAGAATATCCTATCCCTGACACTCTACACACAAGATGTCGACATCTTGATGATAAGCATATCACAGTCCCGTTTCATTACGACAAATTTTGACAGAGTTACTGCCCCTGTTTTACGGAGCTTCATGAAATCTACTCCTCCAGTTTCCAGAGTATATCGCAATATCTAACTATAACTATAACTATAACTATAACTATAGTTAGTTTCCTTGTTTAAGGCTTTTGTGGGTGAGCTACATCCTTTTGGCATTAGCATTCAGACTGGATTACTCCCAACAAAATGTTCTGCACAATTTGTTTCAAATACTGTTGTTATTTCATAAAATACCAAGAAAATATAAACTCCTTAAAAAAATTCATGCGGGGGATGTCGCGCTCTCAGAGCACTCTTGTTGATTGTTACCCTAAATGAACTCCAAAATGCACCGTTCATGACATGCGCTCGCAACTTGATGAGGTCGTAAGTTGGACGACGTTATTTTTCAGAGGAAAGTGTCTGGTGAGTTGTTCCCCATAGATGTAGTTGGACAGCGCAGATGAACGCAATGGCCGAACGATCGCACCCAAAAGTGGGAGAGATATGACATTCGGTTGTGGGAGAAAAGGTACAGATAATCGACGTGAAACTTGTGAGAATATGCGGGAAATACCCACCTGTGCATAAAATGGACATGTCAGACATTGCCGAAGTCGGAGTCATCATTAAAATACGGGTAAATATTTAAAAGCTTGT